GGAACTTATCTGGCGGGGCAATGATGTTTAGTTAAGGTGCTGTCTGTAAAAAGATATCTTGTGGTTATGATTATCAGTTTATCTATCAAGTATCGTTGTTAAGTAATCTACTTTTTGTAAGAGGTGCTTAGGAACTGTTTATCTAAGGGACTTTACTAAATTTTGAAGGCTATGAAGGAGCATTCACAGCGCCATTGAGTAAGAGCTGATGCATGCGATCTTGGCACAAAAAAATCGCATCGAGCGTTTCGCAGGTATAAAGCATGTCTCAACCCCGTCGCAAGTCACATATGGCGATCATCACCCGAAACGCGCTGCGAGTATAATATGTTACCCTTACGATGCTAAATATTCTTGATTTACTTAATTCTGATCTCAGCATAAATGACTTTGGTTAGCCATCGACATTCTCTATCATATTTGTAGTGTATATTTTTGTAATTCTATTAAACGTAGTGTTACGTGCAGGTGCGTTCTAATAATAAACCTAGACATCATGGACGAATTTGGATATGATATTTCAACATTGCTCGTATCCCATTAGGATCTGTAATCAAAGTCACCCCCGTGATGGTCCACTGCCCCATCATGACACTGGGTGACTCTGAGTGTCGAACTGCGAAGTACGTGGAGGTGCCATAATGCCTGAAGCACAGTCGTTTGGCTGATTCAGTAGCTAGGTGGTCCCCTGATCCATATTGCTCATCGATTGCTTCTGATTAAAACTTGGCGCGCCCTGGAAAGACTGCCAAGTGCGGGGAAAATCTGTTGCTTGTACAGTATGTAAAAAGAAAAAAGAAACCCTGCACATTGGATCACATCTAGGGCGTCGGCTGTCATCAAGACCAGTGTCAGGTTGCACAGAACGCCATGGGTCGGACAAAAGGACACGTGAACGATTCAACATGGACTGTCTCGTGCTCTGCACCCATAACCCCAGAACAGTCAGAACAGTCTCTAACAAGCCGCTCGCGCCCTTCTCGAAGCTGCAGTACGCGTCAACTACCACGCAATTGCCTTGCAGGAT